TTTTAGTTGAAACAGCTGACTAAATTCTTTAATTCCCTTTAAAAGTGAATACTCATAAGGTTAACATGGGGAATTACAGAGCCACTGGGGCGGAGCCCGAAAGGATTTTTGAGATAAGAATATGCTTATATGTTAATCGGGAATGTAAGCTATCATCATGCCAAATTTAAGGCCAATCCGTCCAGTGGTTTATGCGTGATTGAACTTCAAACACACAAACAAACAAACACACAAACTTTCACATCTATATAAATAAAATTAGAGTTTTGTCTGTACATTGCTCAGAATCATAAATTTTTAGTTATTTTTACGTTTTATACATTAAAGAAGCCGAAAAAAGTCTCATCTAAATTTCTGTCTGTCTGTCTGTCTTTCTGTAACACTCAAGATGGCATTTTACGCAATCTTCTCCAGGAAAACGAGAATACCTATCAAGATCCAAGTCATTTTAATGTATTCACTGGATTGGCGAGAGTGTCTTTAGCCATTAAAATATGGCCTCACTAATTTGTAAATAAAATTCCGGACGTTCAAAAATGCAGTTTTGTGCGATTTTTGTCAAGTTTTCATCCTATTTTTTTTTATCACATAATCATCTATAAAATAACGAACAGCTGTTCGGATCAAGATTATTTCTTCTAACTGTCACTGATATGTTGACAAATGTTGTTTACAAATACCGCAACCATTTCCGATCACGTTTTGAAGGCAAGTCCCATCCAAGCGAGATTAAAAACGTGTTTCTTACATAATGGATTTAATTAACCGCAAGTGGAATAATATAGTTTAACCGTAAATTAAATTAAATAACTAGGCATCATCCAGGTCAGGAACCAGAGATTCTTTGTGTATATAATTGTTCTTGAGTTTTGATAACCAGAAAGAAGAACTTGAATCAGTGTTGTATACGGCTGGGAAATTTAGTAATGATCGTCGACAATAGCTTAGAAACAATGTTTCCACTCATTGACGGTGCTTCAATGGCGGTTGTGTAAAGTGTAAAGTAAAAAATCACAACTGCAGTGGGTGATTGTAACAGAGGTTTACGGATGATGCTAAACTCGATTTTCCAATGTGTCACTTTCTGTTCCTACCATTGACTATATATATAGTCAATAGTTCCTACTCACCGTGTGATGCAATCGCTGGACCATACTAATACCATACAATAATAGGCCCGTAGCCCATCTCTTGGGTACGTACGCCTACCCAATTAAAACAACCTTTTTCGTCGACGATTTTTGATACCGGTACTTTTCCCTAGAATACACGGCCTACCTACTTAAGAAATAAAATTAAAAACTTCCAAAACCCCAACGTTGTGTGATTTTAATCACATTTCCTTCTAATGTTAAGAGATATACCAATCATTGTTTAGGGAATACGTAATCTATTAAATAACAAAAAGTTGTTGTATAAGATTGTTTTGTTTTCAAACTGACACAGATAAGTTTTAAAAGTTGTTTACAAATGAAGGAATTAATGGAAAATAACTTTGATTGCCGATAACCTTTTACGAGAAAATCCAAAACCAAGAGATCAGTAACCTTTATTAACGCATATAATTGGTCGGATGTACTATAGTTCTTAACCGTAAACGTTGGTTTTTAGTACTGGTTCTTTTCCTTTGAACCGGTAGTAGCAGCAAGAATCATTTTTACGTGCCAACACACATTACTGTAATTTACAAATTAGTTATCGTTGGTGTTGCATCTTATTTATTACAGGCGTATTCAATTTAATAGATGTCTTAACTGTATAAGTTTTGCTTTTTCTGTCTGGATTCCAAAATGTTAGTTTATGCTAAGAAAACGATAACGCATTTTAGTAAAACATTTATTCAGCAAACCATCATGAAATGTTAATACGCTTTAAACGTTGTTTATGTATCAATAGTTCGTGGCCTATTTTGGTAATTTTTACTATAAATTACCAATCTAAATCGTCTATAGTACTTCATTTCATATAGCAAGCCGATTCATGTAGCATTTCGACAGCATTTCGGGTCATCTTCGGTCCAAGCAAATATAAATTGATATGATAACGTTTTATAACATTAACAAAGATTTCAAATAATAATTTTATATGCACTTTGTTATGCTTAAAGCATAGCAAATTCCCTAATTAAGTTCTGTGTATTTGTTTGTGTATGTCGGTTGGTAACGCATTAATGATCTAATTTCTCAGTGTTTCACGGAAAGGACAAGACCACCTTGATAATGAAAATGTCAACACAAATAAAGTGTTAAATTGTGAGGTTGAGGTAGTACCTTAAATACTTTTAACCATTGTGGAAAGTAAATTTCAATTATAGGCCTACCTCAGAGCTATGCCTCATAGATCTATAAAGCATTTTTTAGTTTAATCATTGGATTTAACATATGGACCAACAAGATCCGGGTGACATTTAATTGCGAAACATTAGTTTTGGCTTGAAACTGTCAGATACTGTAGCTGCGAAGGTTTATATAATAGTTTTGTCAGCATATCTGAAAGTATGTAAACCAACTGCTGTGCTTAATATAACAAGGTATTAACTGACTACGATAAGATCCCCGTGCGTAGAACGGGCACACAGCTAGTTTATAATATTAGTAAGATTTCAACAAAACAAAGAACCATTCAAACTATTGGTGTCCTCTTCTGGTATTGAAATTAACGAGGAAACCACACGATGCAAAATCCACCCTTAAATAAGGGTGAAATATTTAATTAAAATTTGAGCGGTTTATAAAATTCATGGCATTTAGGTACAAAATGGGGGATGGTACATCTTATTTCGAATTTGTATTGCAAACTTACAATATCCATTTGTTTATACGCTACCTTATGACACCTAGGTAGAAAATGGGGATTATTAAACGGAGCGAGCGAAGCTCTTATACGTCGACTCTTATGCATTTCGTAATACGCTAACTCCTCCTAGATGTCTGAAGCGATCGTTTTCAAATTTTGCATGGTGATAAAGACCATATCGGTGAGTGCCAACACATATATGGCACAATATCTCTCAGGAATCCGCCCCACGGGGTCTCAAAGATTCAATATAATCCTCATGGAAATCGTATTTGACATATAAACAAAGGCATAAGATCAGTGGTTGACTTTTAAATTCAGTAGATCAAGATATAAGATATTTTTATAGCATTATTCCACAGATGTTAGAACAGAAATTGTTATGGATCATAAATATAATCAAATGAAGACACTAGCTTGAATCTTATTCTCATACATAGAGCCTTAACATCTAGTTTGGACGTTATTGACAGTTCCATTTTGAATAATAAACAAACATGTTTGCTTACGATCCATCCAACAAAATGAACAGTTGAAGTTGTGTTTGAAATGTTCAAAGCTTACTTGGGAAAAGCTTATGTAATCTTTTTAGGAGCCAGTATATTAGAGATGAATTATTGGTTTGTGAATAATTAGTATGTGAATCTTGTGGGGTTTTACAAGAACAGAACCACGTGTTTCAATGCGAACAAAGTTGACGTGTTTACATGGTAGTACATACAGCTTTTTTAATACTAGCGTCTTAGTTGATATTGTGTCTTTTATGCGATAGGATAATTGAGAACAATTTAATTTTTAATATTAGTTTTCATGAAAAAAGTTATGAATTAGTTTGAATGAAAACCATACTACATATAATCCATACACACGTTTCATTGAACAATTGTGGATTTTATGATATGTTTGAAATGCCGCTTTAGCAAATAGTTCGGTCTTATCAAGATCAACAAGGGCCACTAGGACGCACAAAAATGTTAGCCAAAACCAACGATGTATAAAACTAACATGATGTTACTTTAACACGATGTTAGTTTTATACATAGATGGCAAAAACTCGACGGATTAATCTTCGTTTTTTTTATTACTTCCCGATTGATTATAAAAATTATTAACGTGTAACACATCGGTTACGCTGGAATCAACGCGAATGTAAATGTAACTTCTGTAACATTTTTGATTTTAAAATGTTCACATTCATTAAAATCAAAATAAAGTCAATTCACAATAATTCATTTAAGTCAATCAATACATTTGGTATTGTAAAAAAAACTTGTTAAATTGTTTTACCGAGTATTCATCTAGTTCATCTAGTTTTAGTAGTTAAGAAGGTCTCAGATTTAAGAGAGTGATATATATTTCGTGTTTTCGCTTAAATAATCACCATTACAGTCCTCTTGAAGTCCTCTTATGCAGTTATCAGTAGCCAAAATGGTAGAATCCGAAACTGTAAGGGTTGATTTCTAGGCTATCACTAGCTGGACACTGTTTGTGAAAAAGTGTATGACTAACCCAGAAGTTTTAAACTTAAAATGTAAATGCACGTCTTCGAGAAGGACTAAAATGACATCTCTGTGTTTTTACTCCCCTTCATTACAAAACTATGTTTAGCCAATCTAACTACCCCAATATTTATCTCTACACAAATGTTGCCTTCACTTAAAACTGTAGGTAAAAAGAATTGTGAAGTTCGATGGAGAAGGTCGACAAAAATATAAAATGAAACCAGCTGACTCCACTCAATTTTGTGGATGCCTCTGCGAACGCCACCTAGAACATCTAATTCCAATTTTGTATAGCACACTCACAATATCCACTTACTGAGAGAAGCTCTAATAATAAACTCCTGCTTTTGTTTTCCACATACTCCTTATGAACGGAAGCGAACCGCATGAAATTTAGGACAGTCATAGTAACCCACTATGGTAAGGTGGAGAACTGAAATTGTAAAAATCGGACTAAAAGGCTTTTCTCTACGTTAAATTAATTTTTAGAGATTTAAAATGGGCCCTATGGGTTTATTGGTCGCCATGGCCACGCCAAGGCATTATTTGAAAGATTATTAAAAAGGTATAAAGGCACATTACAGATACAGAAAAAAGGGGAGAACAATCGGATTAATATCGTTAACATACATACAACGTCCATTTGTTTAGTTACGCCCTTAATATTTACGACACCTATGACATAACGGCAACTGTTGCAGGCCGCGACCTAGCCCTTCACAGCCACTATAGCCTGAGCCGGACAACCTTGCAGAGGAAATGCACCGGAGGAGACCACAGATAGCCAGTCTGTGAGTGATACTCGGACTGTCCACCTCAAACACTACAGTGAGTACAATGCATACAATCACTAAGATTACTGTGGGTTTCAATCGTCTGTTTTGTTTATTTTTTAAATGCCATGCTTTTAGGTGAGGTATCATTTTGTGAAAATGTTTTGGGCTTTACTCATATTTATTTATTGTCTGGTGATATCCAGGACTCTTCGTATTCAGACACTCACAAACTCAGATCACACACAATCGTTCGTTAATTTTTTGTTGTGTTGATTTATATTGGTGTTTTGCAATTTGTTCAAAATTGCATTAAGTTCACGTAAAAACTAATTATGTAAATTATGAATAATTTTAATGCAGATAAAAATATAGTGGGTACTAAAACTAGGGTACGGCAGAATACTTAGAACTAGATTCAAACGTTTAACATCTCACAAATTTGGATTAAAATCAATTATATTATGTCAAAAACTATTTTGTCGTGTGGGATAACTATAACGGATACAATGAATGTTCATAACGTCTTTAATAATGGTAGTGAGAAATCTTTGTAAACAATACATCAACTGAAATTATACATGACTGCCAATTGTAACTGTTGAGAAACTTCCAAGAATGAGTAAACCTCTAATAATAAAATGTAGACAAATGTACCACAAACCACAATCTAAATGAACTTTGTTATGCTGAAAACGAAATATTGTTATTGATCGTGCTTTACATTGTTCTGTGTATGCTGCTTGTTTGTTTTATGTATACTGTTTATTATGTGTATGCTTGTTTGTATGGTGAGTGTTTTTGCCAATGAAGATTCATTATTCATTTCGTGAGTGTTTAAAAGCCGTTGTCGATTTTACTTCAATTTCAAGAGAACGGACTTAACTCCAATACAGAAACAATAGGTTTACTCTAAATTCAAATCTTCCGTTTTTATTTAGCTGTTGTGAATAAAGTGTCACTAGCCAATCAATTGAGATGGAGACACCACTTAGGTACGTATTTTAACCCAAATATGAGTGAAAGATCAGGGTAGAATGGAGTGAGATTTATAGCACTGACTAAGATCAGCTGATTCATCAGTCAGGATCATTCACGGTATTTAAAGCCCAATTTATCAGGGACAGGCTGCCCATTCAAACACAATACAGCTTTAAAACACAAAAACAAAGAAAATGAATCTACTTTAAACAAACTAATTCACAACACAGCTGTATTGATTGTGAACGGTCCAAACCCTGGTTGTAACTATATAGTTTTCTTTGATTTATCATTTCACAAGTAGATTCCCCATCCTATTCTAAAATAAGAAGTACGATATGGATCGAGCTGGCCCTATTTTACGGGTTCAAATCACACCAATCACTAATGGATTTTATATATGTGATAACGCTGCAGCCCTCTTAGGTTTAGCGAACCACCCTGATAGGAACAGTTCCAAGCTAGAACCTAGCAAAAGAAGTACGAATAGGTTTTGATTTGTTCATATTAGTTAAGATTGAATGCACTAAATGTCGACTAAAAGGTTAGGTATATTTGGGTGTGCATTACTCTACAGTTATGTTACTTGAGTAGTGAGTACATGCAATAGTTTACAAACATATTTTTACAGTTAAAATAGCTTCAACATAAGTAGTTTAATAATAAGAAAAAAATAGTTAACGACTAAACTTCCTAACCGGCTGCAACATACTTTTAAACTGGCTTGAGTTTTTTTTCAAATCCTTAGGATGAAACATCTAAAAGTGGTGATCATGTTTATATATGTTGAATTTATTAGTTTTTAAATACCATAGATTATTTTTGTTTGACAACCCACCCAAAACGCGTCACTTGTGACAGACAGAAAAAAACAATCAAAGGTATTAAAACCATTTCGTTGAAAACAAAAGAATTGATTAAACATGAGATTAATCATCCATATGGATCAGCTGTATATCTTAATGTTCACCGGTCCTCACGGACCTGCATATTTTCACTTGTATACCCGGTGACAACGTCAACCCCAGAATCCTTTATAAACATTGATCCTTGCGCCCGACATACCAGCGTCTGGAGGTCTGTGCTTGTACAATAAGTTTATCAGACCACAGGTATGTCTCAAGGGCAACATACTGTTCAATTAAAAGTCAAGGACATCTTCTTCCTGCAAACTCAACAAATATTGCGTCATTCAGCTACTGTTCGCATAAACTTTCCCAGCAGTAATACGATTCAAGTTGTACAAAAGCATTTAGCTGTCTCAGGTGGAAATATTGACTTAGCACACTTGAACTTGGATACTTATTAATCTTCTTATCCTATTGTAAAATCGGAAGCTTATTTTGTATTATGTCCGGTTGCGTTTAGAGAGTTTGGTGTTGACTACATATTTATCCTATAAGGTGTAGGTCTACGGTTTCGTGGTAAAGTTAGAGGACACACAAAAGTTTGAAAACTTTTGTCGTGATCAGTTGGTAAATAAGCTTTTGCTTCGACCAGCAGAAACATTCCTTTTAATCACAACCTTCTCTAATACAAGGCCGCGGTGTTGCTGTATGGCAACGTTGCACCGGCCGGTATATTGCCATGGTAATAGCAGAAACAAGTGTAAACATAAACATTGCACAGACACTTCAAACAGCTGTATCAGTAGGCCGGCATTGCGGTGTTGCCACTTTTGTCCCCACGGCTTTGTAGAGGAGGCTATGCGAGCTAACCATTTAGTCTACTAAATGTTTCCATTTCATAATAAACGTTACAATGTATGCATTACTATTTGAAAGATTGTATTATTTTCGCACAACTGTTTGAGGTTGGTAGCATAACAAGAAATAAACAGTAAACATATACACGCACTGTAACATAATACCGGCCAGAGATTCTTCTAAAACTTATGTTCAGCTGATCCATAAGGACGATAAATCATAAATTCTTTTTGTCTATGGATAAATATAGCAGTAGCAGTATGTTTTTGTAACATTACCGTACTGTGTATGCATTAACATACCTTTGTCAATTGATAGAACTTCAACTTGGATTAGACTTCGTTATCCAAAAGTCAATGGTACGGTATCAGCACTATAAAACGCCAAACGATTATGCACTTTTTATGCTGAAACTTATCAATTAAAAGTCCATGTGGACGATGGTACAATGGAAACAAAGAGTTCCACATTTTGTTATGAACCCGTGATAATTGTTTTATTTTTCGCCATATTGGACTTTGCTAAGAAGATGTGGATTACATAACAAAAAGTTAAAACAAAACAGCCTCTTTATACTGGACGGAGCTAACCTAAAAATTGTCTTCAGCTAATCCTTGGATGAATACAATGGAGTATGTTTACACTATTTATATGATATCCAGCAGCATGTATTATTAGTGGTAGAGTCAGGTGGACTAACCAGTAACCACAGCAACGACCGCTTCAAGGTTAGGGAATTCCGGAATTGAAACTCAGGGCCAATGTCATTTCCCGATATCCTCCAGGGTCACGTGACTCAAACGGCGGGTAATTTTGTCATTTCAAACATCAAAACAAACTGTTTCTTCATTCTTATTAGGAAATTGAGATTAGATTTAAGCGAGCTTGACAAACCAGGGTGCAGATGAATTTAGGATAGGCATAAATAAAGGAGACTAAGTTTAAGATTCGCTGGTTATTTCGCTGTAGGACCATTTCTTAAAAGCCAGGGTCGGGAGGGGAGATTACGTGTGCAACTCTACCAACACCTAAAAAGAACAACTCTATAGTCTGTATGATAGAACCTGTCAACCGTTCTCTTAGCCCTTCGTCTGCCTGGGTCTGGCCAGTCCCCAAGTAGATAGATGGGCCAGGAGACTGGAGACAGGTCCATCATACAAACTATAACAAAACATAGGTAAAGCATTTATTTTGGAGGACCTCTTACCATCCACATGGTTTCTGGGTAGGTACCGGAGTGGTTGTAGTACTCACCCTACAATCTCTTTCATGCAAGCGAGGTTTTGGGTCTGGATTGGATCGTCGATCCAGCTGCTCTCCTGGAACGAGGTTTGAAATTAGCAACTCAGTACCAGGCGTTTCGTGACCATAGTGTGTGATATATGGGTGTATTTGTGATGAAATTGTAATATATTGGAAACAACTGTTAATATTGTTTCATATTTATATTGTTGGTAAAACAAATAATGTATGGTGTTTGGTCTCACCAAAAGGTAACAATAATTTAAAAAATTAATTAGGCTACATAGGATTTTTTAAAATTATATATGAAGCTATAACTTATAAACTAATTGAGAATAAATCTTATGAACAAAAAGTTAGTACTTCTTTTGCTCTTCAAAATGAGATATCAAACAATAAAATTGGTTCAGTAGTTAACAGGTTATAAGAGATTTAAAAACCCAAATTTTCCCCGACAAAAAAATTTCAAAAAACTCCAAAAAGTATGAAAAAAATATGTTTTACTTTAACAGTGGTAAACCTTTTTCTAAGACTAAATGAACCTAAAAAAAGTGTATACGATAATTTTTTAAAAGTCGCTAGTTTCTGCAGCGACTCAGCTTAACTTCTAGCTTTATGTGTTAGTTAGGATAGTGCCATAGAAAATAATTAATATTTGTCTCAGATGAAGCCGACAGATTTCAAGCCGCTGGATGATGACCTGAGTGAAGAGTTGCGGGCATCGTGTCGCCCTGGGCTGATGCCCATGGCGGGTGTGATGGTGTCGCCCCCAGGCACTGCCATGCCCGAGGAGTTCAAACTGTACGCTGAACGTCTACGAGACTTTGAGGTGCGCCCTGACGACACTTGGGTCATCTCATACCCCAAATGTGGTGAGTGTCGAGAAGTAAATTAAAATAAGATTGATGTGACGCTGACACATTGAGGTGTGTTTTATCAAATAAAAAAGCAAAGATGAGTGTTGAATGTGACTGCTTTGTACTGACTATAGTCTGTTCACAAAATTTAGGCAGTTTAAGCTTTGACTATTATCCAAGAGTCAATGGTTTAAGTCATACTTTTCCCGGGTTCTTCCACCACTTTTTTACCCATCTATATGACTGTCATAATCTTGTTATATTACTCTATCCTAAATAGTCAGCTGTTAGTAAATATTAAATACAGTAGTATGCACTTCTTATTGTTACTTTTGTAAACATTACATTAAAAACATATATGGTTTAAAATTTAATGATATAGAGAGATATCTTACTAATATTATAAATCTGAAAGTTTGTGAGTTTGTGTGTATGTTTGTGTGTATGTTTGTGTGTGTGTTTGTGTGTGTGTTGCTCAATCACGCATAAACTACTGGACGGATTGGGCTGAAATTTGGCATGATGATAGCTCACATTCCCGATTAACATTAAAGCATATTCTTATCTCAAAAACCCTTTCGGGCTCCGCCCCAGTGGCTCTGTAGTTCCCCATGTTAATCTTATGATTTTTCATATTTAAAAGGAATTAATGAATCTTAACAGCTGTTTCAATTAAACAAGTTGGTTCTGTTCTATGATGTTCAATAGCATAAAAGTTAAAAGGATTACCAACAGGGTGCAGCACTATTAATTTTTTTTAATATATGACAACAGCTAATTTCCAACCAAAAGGTGAGTGAGCGTAGCGAACGAACTTCAACCTGGAGGCGAGTTAGCGTAGCGAACGAGCTAACCTGAAGGCAAGTGAGCGCAGCGAACGAGCTCCAACCTAAAGGTGAGTGAGCGTAGCGAACAAACTTCAACCAGGGCGTGAATGAGCCATGCGAATACTTATGAAGTTAAACGGGGCGAAGCCCGCGGGTACAGCTAGTATAAGATAAATGATATCTCTTATTTACAATGTGTGTGTATTTAAATAGTACGGTAACAACACTTTTTGGCGACTAGTAAAAACTGAAATAATGACATTTTACATTTTTAAATAATGAAGGAATCATTTCCAACGTCACAACTTCGGATTGGGGATCACCTCTTGCTGCAATACCCAAACCTAACGGCGGAATTTGCCTTTACGTTGACTACAAGTGTGGGGTTAATGACAGATTAGTACAAGAAAATCATCCAATACGTCGCATCGATGATGTGCTCAACAGCCTGAGAAACTCCAAGTACTTTTGTAAGCTTGATTTATTTAAAGCTTATTTACACCTGCAAGTTGATGAAGACAGTGGCAAAATTCAAACTATTTTTCACACAGAGGTACATACAGGATCAACAGACTCAGTTTTGGAATTAAAACTGTTCCAGCCGAATTCAATTGGATCATATCTCAAATCCTCATGGGACTAAAGAAAACAGAAGCCTATTTTGACGATATCATCGTTCATGGAAACACATTTGATGAGTGCCTTTTAAACCTACAAGCATGTCTTCAACATACTATCTAACTACAACTTGCATGTAAACAGAAATAAATGCACTTTTATTACTGAAAAAGTGGAATACTTTGGTCATGCTGTTCAACATGACAAAATCAGCAAGTCTCCATCCAAAGTTCAAGCTATTCAAGATATGCCGCGTCCACACAACGTCGAAGAACTCAAAAGATTTTTGGGTATGGTTACATACTACTCAAGATTTGTACCAGATTTTTCTACATTGTCATTTCCACTCAGATGTCTATTGAAGAAATCAGAACCATGGATGTGGACAGCTACTTGTGAATCTGCATTTCTAAAACTCAAATCAGAACTCTGCAGTGACAGAGTGACCCTAACCTAAACCTCATCCTGAGAACTGATGCTAGTCCTACAGGTGTCACAGCTGTACTAAGTCATGAAATCGAAGGAGTAGAACATCCGATAGCATACGCGTCTCGTTCTTTGAATCTGAGTGAAATGAACTACAGTCAACTTGATCGAGAGGCATTGGCGATAATCTTTAGTGTGAACCATTTCTACAACTATCTACTTGGAAAGAAGTTCATTTTAGTTACAGACAACGAACCATTGACAAGAATTTTTCACAAAAATAAAGCTCTACCTAGATGACGTTAGCTCGACTACTGCGAAACGCTTCATTCCTCATTTGATTACATCTATCGATTCAAGAAGGGAAGTAAGTTAGCAATCAAAATGTAGATTGTTCATCAAGATCTTCAGTCAAAACATGCACTAGTTCAACAGATCAACAAATCGGGGAAGAGGTGAACCAGCTTTATTCCCAATCACTTTTTCAAGTATTCAACTGTGAAATAACTTCAATGACAATCAAAGAAGAGACCGCAAAAGACCATTAAATTAATGTAATAGTTCAAACCCTGAAAAACAAATCTACTGATTCAGAATACACCCTACTTGACGGTATCTTTGTTTCGAAAAGACAGAATTGTAATTACAACATCTTTACGCTCCAAAATACTCAGTGAACTTCATGAAACTCATCTGGGAATAACCAAAATGAAGCAACTCGCTCGACGCTATGTTTACTGGCCAGGAATTGACGGTGAAATCGAAAGACTAGTTAAAGGATGTAAAAGTTGCGCCCTAGTGAAAGCAAGTCCACCTAAAGTTTCAGTACATCCGTGGAACCTACCTGAAACTAACCTAACTGGGACCGAATACATATAGATTATGCCAAGCCTTATGAAAATCACTATTTTCTTGTTTGTATTGACGCAAGATCCAAATGAGCTGAAATCGAAGTGTTGAAGGAAGCAACCACATCTTCAAACCCAATCAATCTGTTAAACAAGATATTTGCTACACATGGGTATCCGAAAGAATGAGTTTCTGATAATGCTACAATATTTACAAGTGAAGAATTCAGAGCTTACTGCAAGATCAACGGCATATTCCAAAAGTTCATCGCCCCTGAGCACCCAGCGACCAATGGCCTTGCATAAGGCAACGTACATACCCTGAAGAACAAATTAAAGTCAGCTTCTGAAGAACCTGGAACCCTGACAGACAAGGTGAAAAAAATCTTATTCTGTTATAGAGCTACTCCGTTAGCTAGGAACCAAACCCCTGCTGAACTCTACCTCAATAGAAAACTAAGGATTCAACTTGATGCCATCTTCCCTTACCAACACCCTAAATCAAATATCCAGCCTGTTTTAAAACCTGTCAGATCGATTCAAGAGGGGGAGAGAGTGCAAGTTCAAATATTCAGTAACAACAGACAAGTTTGGCAGTTTGGAGTAATAAAGAAGAAGCTAGGGAAAAGACATTACATAGTAACACTCGATAGTGGAAGAAATATCAAGGGACACATTAACCAGCTTAGACCAACTCTAGTAATTAAAGAAAATATGGTAACATTTGCACCTGAAAAACCATTTGATGTACCAAAACTCCCAAACCAAACTCCATCTTATCCTGATCAAAGACCCGACCATATTGAACCAGACCAGCATGCAGAAGTTAAAATTCCAGTTCGCTCTCCATGACCAGTAGGACAACGGACAGCCACGTTGCTTACAAGACTTTATCGTTCGAAAATGGTTGATATTCTTCTCAATAAGTGAGGGAGAGTGTCATAATCTTGTTCTATTACTCTATTCTAAATTGTCAGCTGTTAGTAAATATTAAATAGTACACACTTCTTATTGTTACTTTTGTAAACATTACTTTAAAAACATCTATGGTGTTAAAATAAAGAGATATCATTTACAATGTGCGTGTATTTCAATAGTACTGTCATAACCATGACCCAGCTTTTGAAAATTTGTTATCAAAAAAGAACACAGTTGAATTAGCCAGTAGCATAGTGTACATGTGTTGTTAACATTCTATTAATTGTCTATCTTATTTTGCATTTCTGAGATAGTTGATATGACCTAATGAATGCTATTGCTCACAACAAGAGTCCTACCAGCGCAATTTATGAATGTCTCAATTCAACATTGTCCATTTTGATTAACAACAAAACAAAACAAAACTGGCTAAAACTTAAACATGGGGATGAAATTCTAACTCTTTCAATAGTCTAAGCCAAAGCTGTTTCCTTTTCCACCCCTTTTCAGGAATAAAACTAATTACTTTAACCTAGCAACACATGCATTGAAAACTGTCCTTTGCAGTGCAGTATGACAACTAAACTAACACGCCAGCGGTTTGCATTTGATGCACTATAGGGCCGAAAGACATTTCATCCCCCTTCGTCCTTTCCTTGTCAGGGAATTTTTCTCTTCCCACAAATCTAAAACCACTTGCGTCCCTGGGACCATTTACTAAAGCGGCCTTTATAAACTAATATATTTCTTGTGTATTTAGACATTTTAATAATTAATCCGTACAATATTTTTCTGTCTTGTTCAGGAACTACCTGGACGCAAGAAATGGTTTGGCTCATTGGCAACAACTGCGACTTTGATGCCGCGTCTGACAAGCTTCTTCTACAACGGTTCCCCTTCCTTGAGTAAGTTTAACCTTACTTTTACTACAAGGATGAAACCTAGCTCTCAAGGCACTATGTTATTTGGATTTTTGTGAGGGTATCAGGCTTACTCGAATACAAAGAGGTAAAATCTTGCAAAATAATTATTATTAGAATATACTGTCACTGACAGCATTTTCAACCACGGAGGCTATGAGTTGAAGAGAAAATTATAAAGTGTAACTTTTCTCACTGAATCTTTTGTCAGATTGGACTCTTTCCCATTTAGGTAAGCCTGTTATCCTAAAAATACTTAATTTGAATACAATCGGTGACCACTGTAAAGAACTTTATTTTATGAAGTTATCATTTATTAATGACATAAAGTTTGTAAATTCATCGATAAGTTATATCTAAATTTTTCATCGACTTCAATCGGTTTTAAAAGGTTAACTTTTACAGTATTATGAATGTACAAAAGGTAAGTACTAGTGACTGGTAGTAATTTTCTGGTGACACTTTCATATGGGCCAAGTGGAATGATGCTCAACCAAGAACCAACTATTATTTAACCACTTCATTCAGCTTATGTGGTTAAGATATTATTCAATTAAGTTCTGTCTACGAGTATATTATTAAAACAATTTGTTAGATTTTTGTGTGCAGCAAATTGACCCCTAAATATTTATTTCTATAGGCATATTGCGTATCGATTTAAAGCTCTTATCCTCTAGATGTGCCTTTTGTGGGTTTGGGTGATATCCTGTAATAGCCCTTTTTCCTATAGGCTTTTAAAATTTCATGGTTTGTGCTGAATTCAGTTGTCAACCATCAGAAGTTTTTCAAGTTTACATTTGTTTACATCAAAACAGATGGCCATGATACAACTTTGTTCACATCCATACAAAAATGGGGTTATTTGTAGTTGGTGATGTTTCAGTGCATTAAATTAAAATGTTGTAATGTTATTTGTATAAAATGTAAAGAAGAAAATGACTACGTTAGATTTTGTGTTTTCACAGTATGTTTTATTGTTGTTTTAGGGTATTCAAGTAAAATATTGTAATGTTATTTGTTTGAAAAGTAAAGAAGAAAAGGGCTTACATTATATTTTTTTGTGTTTTCATGGTACGTTTCATTAGTATTTGTAATTTTTCTAAGATACCTCGAAGAGATTGCGCAGGCAATGAAAATAGTAGGGCTCGCTAGGCAAATAGTAGGGGTATGATGAGAAATAATCGTTTTTCAACCTTATCAACTATATATCAAATATATCACGGATTTTGAAGTCACTAAGTGACGCAGGTTGCTAGTAAAAATTAGTTGTACACTGTCAAGAAGTGAAATCTTTCAAAGAAATTATACTAAAAATCCAGAGAATCCAGGCTCTTTTAGTTACCATAAAAACTTCATGGATAAATTAATTCCATCTGGTTGTACTTTGCTGAGTATCTGGAATGTTGAGCAATGCATTGGAATGTGGGCCATGATGGGCTGATATAAGCTATCCCACCAAACAGTGTTTCTTAACATTCCTGCTCCGAGTGTGGAGCGCTATAGTAGTTTCTATATCACCTTCTGATGTCGTCAACATTCACCAACTGTAGGGTGCACAATATTTGAAAAAGCTCATGATTATTTTAAAAAGTCATAATTTTAGTTGATGATTATCCTTTACCAATTTACGTTCAAGATAAAAACATCCTTTGATCCCTCACCATTCCTAGTAAACGTGCCGATTGATTAGCCAACACTACTGTCAAAAACAAGTACCGCCACTAGCTGGAATAAAATAAACACAAACTTACAGGTTGAGTAAATGACAGTCCACAGTAATTGATGTTTACCATTTCTGTGTTTTACAGGGCTGTCAGTATCATCCCACAGCCAGAAGTCGATGAGCAAGCCCAGTTCCTGGATGAACACGTTTTGTTTGCAGACACCATCCAGTTTGTGGAGGAACTCCCGTCTCCAAGGTTCATCAAGAGCCATCTTCCCGTCGAGCTCCTGCCCAAGCAAATCTGGACTAAGAAACCCAAGGTAAATATTAAGTTAATTCTTCCAGTTCAGACTGGAATCTAGACTAGACGTACAAGTCCTAAGTTCACTTGTAAGGAACACCATTCTTAGATCTGTAGCTGATGTGTACGCTTTGCGATGATACCTACCAGTAAGTGGCGAGGAGCCTCATTGCAGTGTACAATCAAACTATGGATGTATGCTCAAAAACTATCCTTACTTACAAAACCGTCCTCATTGTGGAAATCACTAAAGTTTCAATAATTTTTTAAAGTTTTGATCAATATCTTTTTAGCTGTTTTTTTATCAAATTTTTTTGTCAGACCTAACTTATTATGTGTTTTTTTTTTGGAAACCATTAAAAATATGAAAAACACACCTGAAGATACCGTGGTATACCCACATACTAAATTTCATCAAAATCAGACAACAGGTGTATTCTGTAGCTCTGTACACCATCCACACATACACACACACACACACACACTCAAATATTACTTCGAAAACCACCTTTTGGGTTCAGGGGGACCCAAACAAAATTGATATATCCCCCCAAATCTCAAACTCTAAAATATAAAAAAATACTTTGTTCATATACTGTATAGAGGGAGAAAGTAAAAATAAAAAAAACCATGCAGCACACTTTTGGGCTTTTAATGTTAATATTAACGAAACTGTTAAACTGTTTTCGACATTAAACATATGGTTTAAAATGATTACTAACACATGTGCGACGCAGATGTTTAAATTCTACTAGATGTCAAAGTAAAAAACTTCAAACACAGCAACCAAACCACTTTACCATAATTTGGGAATAATCTTAGAAATACAAATAAATATAAATGGAAATTTAATTTCAAAAAGGTCATAAGACCTCTTTTAATCGCGACTGTATTTTGAGGACAATTTCGTTCATTTTCAGTTTTGTTGTTTGTTGACAGTTTGCGCCGTGATTGCGGAACCAAGCATGAGAAAACATATGATACAAAATGCATGAATAGGTGTTAATGTTTGTGTATATACACATATTTATACTATACTCTGTCTGAATTTAATGTGCGGTTGAAGGACAAATTTGTTTTCCCCTGTTTTCTCCCTGGCCCCTGCCACCACAACATATTAGCCTACAGCTGATTCATACTGTTTATAATTTTACAACAGTTGTCACTTTGTTTACATTTTAGTAGTAAACAACATTGTGATTATTCTGATGGTATTTTTTTGCAGTTTAATATTATTCAGTCTGTGTTTAATTGATTAGTGTTAATTAGAAATGGCCAAAAGGTGCCAAGACATTACTATTCAAACTAAAAATACAATTTTTAGAGTGTACAATTATTTAAAAAAGCACTTATTATAAATCTGCAGTATGACACTGACTCTGATGGCTTAAGCGAAGATGATGGTGAATATCTACTTTCCAGTACTTTTTAACGTCCACATTACAACTAATATTTGTTAAATTTACACCATTGTGTTCATTTTGTGGTTTAATATATGTTTTAAAAATCAAATTAAATTTATATGTTTTTACGAGATTTGTTTTCTATTTGGTGTGTACTAAGGCGTATTGGCCTTTTATTATTAAGGATTTGAAATATTTATACAATTAGTAAACGATGAAAAATGCAAACACTTTAATATAGCTGTTACATACAAATGGTTTAATTTCTGTGTATCTCCAAACATAACTCGTTCATTCAAAATGGTATGATCAATTTGTTATGTTAGTTTATCCTCAGTAAAAGAAAATTGAATGCTTACTTGTCATTTACCTAGTGAGTTTAATGTTGTACACTGATTACTCAGGCATAAACAGGATAACCCAATGGTTTTCATCCTGATCTGACCTTAGGGCTCCGCTAGAGACATTGACAAAGTTCCTATTACCGACGGTATTAAAATAACAACTAAATAAAGAAGTGAAGAATCACTTTTAGAATTTTTAAACAAGTTTACCACGATATTAACTAATTTAATAATGTATAGTTACATTACCAGAACTGAAATTGTATTTAAAACAATCCATCAAAAGCAAAAATGTTAGTCCAGGATTATGTATATTACATTATAACAAAACTTTTAGTGAAATTAAAATTGATACGTAGATTATTTATTGTTAAAATAAATCTTATTGTTTTATTATGTGTGTAGTTCAATCATAATAAACAAATGCTTCCTAAAAACCTGTCTGCAATATAAAACAGATGATTGTTACAGGGGATTTCAGTGTAGAAAAGGGTAAATGAGTGGGAGATTTACCATGATAGGGAAATCATATGTTGAATTCCAACCGCACAATTATTTTAGACATACTATAATATACTGTTTACTTTGGTAAATAAATGGTCTCTCATCCCAGCAAAATACAGACAACAGTTAACAGTTATTTCCTATTGAATTTTGATGTGAATCATCTGGGCAACTACTCTATTATTATGAAAACCAAGTACATTAATCTGATTGTGATATTGTCTGTTACAGATAATTTATGTGACTAGGAACCCTATGGATGCTGCCATTTCGTATTACCACCACCATCGACTTTGGAATGGTTATGTTGGATCATATGAAACCTTTATGGAGGGATTTCTCAATGATAAATGTAAGTGTATTGTTATGAAAATTATACATAGTAACTCCCATAGAAAATATGGTATAAAATGAGGAAAACTATAGTCTATATGATGTCACCTGTCTCCTGACCCTGTTTACCTGATACTGGCTCAGGCCTTAAACAGTTTGCCACTTCCCAGGTCAAGAGAGAGGATCTGGTTTTTTTCCTATGAAACTAGGCACAAGCCTGGGATTGTTTTTCACATTACTCCAGTCTAGAGAGCTAGGGGTTACTGCATTATCACTTAGATAAAATCCATTAGTCGATTTTGCGGGATTTGGACCCAGGACTTCAGGGACCAAAGCTCCCCAGAAGACAGGTTCCATCATACAGAGTATAGCTAACACACAATGCTATACAAAATTATTGGTTTTGAGTTATTTTTCAATGTAGAAATTATATGTTGAAACAGTGCATTTGAAAACCTTAAACATATTATGTTTACGTTTTTCAAGTGGACTAAGTTTTTTTGTGTTCAGCTTCTCATCTGTGTATTTTTCAAACAACTTATGCAAATGGTGCTCCTCTTTCTGTTGTTGGAGTATAATTATAAATTACAAACATATTAACTTTGTTAATTTGTATCAGTAAACAAACTTAACATATTTATACAACTGAAATCAAGATATAAATTAATGTTTTGTTGCACAGTGGTCTACAGCCCTTTCTGGAACCATGTATTGGAATACAAGAAATTGGAAAATCAAGAACATGTCCTGATAATATCGTTTGAAGAAATGAAAAGAGTAAGTATACCATTCAGTTGTATGAGAGTATATAAGTTGCTAGAATTGCTAAGAAGGTAGAAACAAACAAAAAAAAAAAACTGTAAAACCGTAACAGATTCTAGAGTGTGGGTATTGGAGCTTACCTTACCTTACCTCCTTGGCCACTCAAACCTAAGAAGGTTTTTGGCCTCGCCAACAAGTTGCCTCCACTGCTGCCGGTCTGCCGCCATGTCAAGAGATGCCCCCACTCTGTGTAGGTCTTTCTGGACTTGGTCTCTCCATCTCAACTTCGGTCTTCCTAGTGGGCGAGTGCCTCGTGGTTGTCCATTGGCGATCTTCTTAAGCATACTTTCTTCTTCCCTTCTTTCTACATGGCCTGCCCATCTCAGTCGTCTACTCTTCACTATGGCTACAATGTCTGGTTCTTTGTACAGTTCTCAGAGCTCTCGGTTTTTTCTTATTCGCCACATACCTTCTTCATTTATAGGTCCGAAAATCTTCCTCAAAATTTTGTTCTCAAAAATGATAAGTTTGTTTTCATGATTTTTAGTTAATGTCCAGGTTTCCGAACCATATAAAAGGACTGGTTGAATTAAAGTTTTATAGATTCTTAATTTTGTGTTTTGGGATAGTATTTTTGAACTAAGTATTTTTGATACGCCCCAGAAACATTTGGTTGCTGCAATCAGTCTCTTTTCTATTTCTGTCCCTCTTTCGTTATTCCAGTTAACTGAGACTCCGGGGTATTTAAATTCGTTTACTCTTTCAAAATTATGGTTATTGACCCTAAAAGGTTCAGCTCCTTCAATTTGGGTTCTTCCGACTTTCAGATATTTTGACTTCTCTTCACTTATTTTAAGTCCAAACTTATTTGCTTCCCTTATAATAATCTCAGTAAGCTTACCTAGGTCCTCTTTTGATTCTGCAACTAATGCAACATCATCCGCAAAAGCAAGTGTGTTTACTATAGATCCGAGGTTTATTCCAGCTTCGATATGTTTGGTGCTTTTTAAGGTTTCTTCTATTGCAATATTGAAAAGAATTGGTGAAAGTCCATCCCCTTGTCTAACCCCTGAATGGGTTTAAAAGGTTTCTGAGTATTCATTTTCTATCTTAACTTTACTTTTGGAACCTTCAACACATATCTTTGTCAAATTTATCAGTTTGTCGGGAATTCCAATTTTCTGCATTGTTTCCCAGAGTTTGGGTCTTTTTATGGTATCATAAGCTTTTACAAAGTCAATGAACAGGATATAACACTCTTTATTATATTCCCAATACTTTGATATTATCTCTCTAATCACAAAAATTTGATCCGTTGTTGAGCGTCCGTTGATGAAACCAGTTTGATGGTCTTCAATGAATTCTTCTGCATACGGTTTTGTTCTGTTTAATAAAATCTTAGACAATATTTTGTAAGTTGAGTTAAGTAGGGATATTCCTCTAAAATTGCTACAAGTTTCTTTGTCTCCTTTTTTGTGGATCGGGATTATTACAGATTCACTCCATTCTATAGGCATTTCTTCCATATTCGCTGAATCAGTTTATGAATTTCTCTAGTAGCATTCTTACCACATTGTTTCATAACCTCTATTGCTATATCGTCTTCACCTGGTGCTTTTCCATTTTTTAAGTTTTGAATTGCTTCCTTAACTTCTTCCAGGGATGGTTCTTGTATACATGGGTATTGGAGCTATATCACGTTAATTTTGAAATTGAGATAGACATAAGGTAGAAATAGCCTTTAAATTTTGGATACTGGTGTTCTAACAATGGCCAAAGAAACTGTAGCTCAATGATAATGTTTTGATTTGATTAGAGTTTAGCTGGCTTTCCAACAAAATTACAACAAATACAAACTTACATTGCTACAAATTTTTTCTTCCTTTAAATTTTGAGCCTTATAAAACAAAAAACTTTTAATTTTCTTACTACTGTATTACATTTGACAGTAATCACAAAATAGTAGTTTTCATCACTAGCTCTTTTTGGTACTCTTTCCCAGCCGAACTGGGAAATACATTAAGTACCTTCTAATCGTTACAAAATTACACCAGCTGTCTGAAATTGTGAAAAAATAGTAGTTCGGATTGTTAACATTGAAATGTCAACGCAAAGATAAACATTGTCAGGTAAGAATTTCCTAAAGCTTCCTTTGAGTGAGACCAAATAATATTTACTTTTGAAAACCTCACCTCAAAACTGTCTAACATCCACGGGGCGATCCCGAGAGGAACTCAAGGAAGTTAATAGGCCTATGACGTTCCTAGATATGTGGACCATCTTTGGCCAATTTTGGCTGTATCGGTTTAGTATTTTAGCTGTGACGGCTGCCCAGACAGACAGACAGACACCACCTCAATTTTATTAGCCTATAGTATAGATTTTAATAATAGTTTCAATCAGTACTTGGGTTTGCTGGTACAGGGAAGATAATAAAGAGTTATCCCATTGACTAAAGACTAAACATTCCAATGATGATCTCGGAAGTAAAAGTGAATTTACAACGTAATATATTTGCTTTCAGGATCTCAAATCAGTTATCCAACAAACATCTGATTTCCTGGGGAAGACATTGACTGCAGAACAGATTGTAGAGTTGTCAGAACATCTGAGCTTCTCCAACATGAAGAACAACCCGGCCATCAACGGAGAAGACTTCATCAAGGAGGTGAAGGAGAAACACGACATGCCAGAGGACGACCCGGAGCTGACCTTCATCAGGAAGGGACAAGTCGGAGGCTGGAAGAAGGAGTTGCCACATCACTTTGTGGAGAAGTTCAAGTCTTGGACGAAGGAGAAACTCAGAGGGACGACTTATACAGAGGAAGACTTCTATTTGACCCAGTGATCAGTGATTGCACACAGCAGCATCACCTCAAAAGACAACTAGACAAGATAGTTTGTGTCGTATTTGAATGGACTTGAACCAGTTGTGGCGATCAGGTGGGGGAAGCTCACCCCCCACATTTACAGGAATACAGAATATCATAGACACCTGCAGGAATTTTCTTCAGGTGGTAAACCAATATCTACTAGTGAATGGAGGAAAAGGCCTTGCTCCACAAACAAATTGATATGAAACACTTTAAAACATAATTGTTGTATTTATAATAGCCAGACTTAACATTTTAAGTTTTACTTTTGGAGACTTAAAATATTTAAATTAAATTGAAATATCAGTCTTACATAAAGCCGCGTTTACACAAGGACAGTTAGGACAGGAGGACAGCAGGCAGGTTACTTGCCTCTAATGTATTTCAAGTTACCTGCCAACTGTCGTGTAAATGCGGCTTAGTTAAAAAATATTTTTAGTATTTATGTAAACATACAAGAATTTACTGTCTGATTTGAGGTTATTTTCTTTGGAACATCTGGTCCGTGACAGCTTATTCAATTTTTTTCCATCCTAATTAAATTTTGGCAACTCATCTGCTCTCTTGGCTAAAACCATTGTACCTTCACTTCAACAAATAGACTCTTTAAAAATACTGCACAAGAATCAAAATGCAAATACGTAGGTCTACTAGTTTATTATTGTTAGATTAGCTATATTTTGTACTATTTTGTTTATTTATTGTTATTGTAATTATCATTGTATATTATTCAAATATAAATTTGTATAATTCAAATGTTAGTTTAAAGATAAATTAGGGAAAACATTCGTATTGTATATTGTAAGATGTGAACAATGTTAGTTATTATAACAAGTTATTTTAAGTTAAGTTATTAACTTATTAAGTTTCAATTACTTTGATATGTACTTATTATATTTTTAATACAAGCTCACAATTTAAACTTTGTGCATAATTACATCAACATAATCATGTCAAACATAATAATGTTTCAAAATATAATAAAAAGGTAATAGGGTGAATTATACTTCTATCAAATAAAAAGTAGTACTGTCTTAATGGAGTATTATTTTATTTGTAGGCCATACCAAATTTTAGCGAATTTCCCGTATAGGGAATAAACTATTACCGTAGTACTCATGGTAAGACCTGGACCCAGGACCGATTTACTTTTTTATTTTGAGCTCCCTAGAGGCCAAAACTACAATCCGTTCAGATTCATATATATGTGTCCGTTAGCACGATAACTCAAGCAAAAATGGTCCGATTTTTATTCAATTTGGTATAAACGTGTAAACCTATTCAAACGAGTTCGCGAACCAGCATGATCAGACAATGGGAACCGGGATTTATGGAGGGTTGTATGGTGTAAATATAGATTTTTCCCATTTTAGACCCTAAAAACACAAAATTTCACAATTTATTTCCAAACCATTTTGTAGAGCTTAAAAAAACAAATAATTTAGTATATTGAAGCGTTATTGTGTGCCTAATGGTTACGGAGAAAATTCCAAAAAATTTTAAATTTAAAATTCCCATGTTATTCTTATGGAGAATAAGTCAACTGTTGTAGTTTGCTTGTTTATGAACATATGTTGATCGAATTTGGAAAATACATTAATTTCTTACTACACTATTTACATTTTACAAAAAAAACTTTTTACCCTCCCTGTTGCAGCAAACCTAAGAACTCGTTAAACTATAATTCTATTTATATAGGGAATAAAAATGTGATATTTTTAAAGGAGGAATTTTAGTGCAAATCCAATTAGGCTAATGGAAATTTGCAAAGTCTGCATGTTTGCTGCGGTGGGGGTATTATATTTTTGTCTGTGGATTTCAATAGAATTACCGTACAAATGTAAGGGACAAAACTATGATGAAATACATTTCGTTACACAACAAATATATCCTGGAGAAGTGCTACCCCCAGATATTCTTTATAGCTCAGTGAGTGAATGTAGATGTAAACATAGTAGATGAAAACGATGGAGGTTGAAATAGGCACGCCAACATGTTTGTCAATATGTCATGTAGTTGTGGTGCATGCTACTGTAGCTATAATTTCATTGTTTGCATAAGTTAAGCGTGATTAACACAACTTCATACAGTATTTTGCTTCAATCTATACTTATAAAAGTCAAACACCACTCACTGACTCAGTGATCACTATATCTCAAAATCTACTAACCTTAAGAACTCAGTAATTGGGATGGAGATTCTAATTAGGCTTTAGGTATGCAATAAGAAGCGTTTTCAAGAAATAGCTTGTTAGAAAGACATTTCCCTGTAGATGTGCAGAATCCCTTCATAAATTAAAATAGGCTAAAAAATAAGCACAAAAATGAATTTAAAACATAATAAAAATAAACATGGACCTTATGGGTTGCTATGCTGGTGATGAAATAACAACGCATTATAAACAGAAAATCAAAACAATTGGATGAAATTCCAATCACATGTTTTATTTAAAGCGTAGGGTGAAAAGAAGTCTGTATATTACCATAGAGAAAACATACTCCCTTAGTCTTGTGTTGCTTAGTCTATGATATTACGAAATTTTGGTTGAGTTTTCGACCACTGGACGACCTATAGTATTATTTAATGTGTTCAGAATATCAATGTCAAAGGAACGATTATTTGCACTCGAGTTTCACCTAATATTCTAAGGGATGGCATCTGGCATCTGGCATCTATCTTCTTCTATCACTAGGCTATTTTATGATCATTTGGGAGCTCAAGAGAGAAGATCAAGTGCAGCTGCCCCCCCCCCCCACGCCCCTCTTTGAGTACGACCATGTCTCACAGATCTTTGTTGCTGCTTGCTGCTTGGTTCAAATAATCTGTAAATGAAAATAAATAAAATATAAACGCAAAAAAATTAATAGTGCTGAACCCTACTGGTAAACCTTATAACCTCTTTTGCTATTGAATAAGAACCAATTTTTGTAGTTGAAACAGCTTACGTAACTTAATTCTTTAATTCCTTTTAAATATGAATATACTCATAAGGTTAATATGGGAAATTCTAGAGCTACTGGCAGTGCCGGATGTAGGATACTTGCGGCCCTAGGCCAAATTACTTGATTTACTGACACTTGCCTCAGGGTAGCGTCTTAGCCCCAGCTCTTTATAACATTTACACTAACGAAAAGGTTGACATTGCAGTCAATGACATGGCTCGGATTGTAACTGGGTGTTTGAAACCAACCCCAGTACACAAACTCTATCCTATCATAGGGATCGCCCCTCCATCAATCCGACATGATGTCGCTGCCGACGCAGAAAGGACTAAGCAAGAGACAGACCCTCGTCACCCATTACACGGCCACCAACCTGCAGAGCGACGGCTTTGGTCCAGAAAGAGCTCTTTATCACGGACACGAGTCCTGGATGAATCACTCTCAAGCAAGTGAGACCACGTTGACTAACCCTCCCATACCAGCCAGGGGGGAACTGGCTCCTGGTGGAGGCCTTCATTACACGGTGTGGAAGACCCTAAATCGAATTAGGGTCGAGGTACCAAAATGCAAGACAAACATGCAGAAATGGGGTCTCTTACCAGACGAAGAAAACAGCGCGTGTGGTGCTGTTCAGGATCCTGGCCATCTGCTGATCTGCCCACGCCTAGACCAGTCTTGCACATTAGATGATCTTTTACATGCGAATGACAAAGCCATATCGGTAGCTAATTTTTGGAAAAGCGAAGTCTGATTTCCGGACACGGAAAGAAAGTAAGTATCCTTGACACTACCAACCGCAGCGAAATCGTGATCATATCCCGTGAGCTGTAACCTTGAGGACATCATCACCGTCACCCACGACAGCAGTGAAATCATGAACACCTCCCGCAGGCCGCAATCACGGGGACACAACACGGTCACCCGTGGCTGAGGTTTAAGGTGTGACCCACATTGGAAGCGGATTTTTTTCTGATCAGCCAGCCAGACCAGACCAGACCAAACTCTTCAGACCGGAAGCGGGTTGACGCTCCTACACTGCAGCCAGTCTCACAATCTTAACTCACAAACACTCCACAGTCACTGTCCACACAGCAAAAAGCATTTGTGTAGTTACTAAAGTTTTTAAACTTAACTTGTTGTTGTTGATCTTTTTGTTAGTTAAATTTGTTTATAATTTTGTGTTTTTAGGAAACTTTACCATAGTTTTTGTTGTTTAGTTTGTTTTTGTTATTGTTTTTGGTTTGTAAAATGGATAAACAACTTTTTGATTTTATTTTATTGGGCAGCAATTGAGGTTTTGGTAGTATTTGTCTTTCTGGCTCCACGAAGCCACTTTCTTACGCACTAATTCCATCAACGTGTGTATACCAATGTACGTATTAGGTAGTATGTATCTATGTATATTATTTTTATCATACGTCTAAATTACCATTTGGAAATCCCAACTTAAGTTCTAACTTCTAAGTTTCCTTAGAAATAAACCAAAATTGTATAGCTTTAAGCTCTTGTTTATTATGTTTTATAGTTACTTAAGTCACGGACAACTTTGTCAACCATTTTAGCACAATCTAAAAAACAAACAGACGAAATAAATAACATCAACTATACACCAACCTCGGTCAAAGATTTGAAATTCAAAGCGACTGGGTTTCTGGGTCTGGTCTGACCTGGTGAAAAAACAAACTATTTTGATTCGTTTCCGACAAGCTCAGACCCGTTCCTCCTTGCCAACACAACAATCGGTGCCAGTGTAGGAGGGGAGACGGTGTTTGTTTCCGGCAGAACCGGTCATACCGTCAAATTCCGCTTCCAATGTAGGTCGCGCCTAGCCGGGTGCTCCCTGTCTGGCGTCTGGGTAACTGTCTCCTAGGATGTTACACTCTACTCAGAGCAGTATTTCCCATACGGGGGATACCGAGGGCCTCGGCCTGGGATGCTATGTTTGGCTTAAAAATGAATTTTCTCCTATAAAATCTGTTCGGGGGTTAGATTTCCAAGCCGAGCTTTTATCCTCACGAACTCCAAAAATGCCTGCAAGATTGCGCGATCGAAAATCATGATTTCACCACGATCGCAGGTGTTCGCCAGGGCCCACAGGAGACACTCATGATTTTGTCTCAACCGAGGACAATGTTAACGATTTCAGTGCGATTGCAGAACTCTTTTCAACCCGAGAGAGTGTGTGTTGTAGTATAACATTTAATTTTTTTGTATATTAACACTTTACAAAGCAACTCCAATTCGACACGATCTGATTTTGGCCTGAGGCTCGAGGTAATACTTTTGTTTAATACTTTCTATTAACGAAGGTAGTATGAATGAATATGAGTAGCACTATCTTAATTGTAGTCTTGTTACTGACTAAGGCCAACATATTCCTTAGACACAGCTGTAAATTAATAGCCCATACAACCAATGGCAACTAAGGGACCTACAGTTTATAGTGGAATCCGAACCACATTTTTACCTTGTAATTTACGAATTGATCTAATTATCAGGATAGTACTGTGGATAGTCATATTGTGGGCGTTAATACACACCAGGGAGTATCACATTCACAGATCATGCCTATTAATATCCACAATTTGTGACCTCCAAGTAGATGGATTACAGGACAACACCACGGTCCCAGTCATTTAAGCAATACCACCTGTATTACCAAGCCCATTTCAGCTCCAGACATCGAAGAATCAGAGGGGCCTCTCTGGAGTGAGCTGCCGGGGCCACATACAATCAAAATACTTTAGTGTGGGTGTGAGTAGTGAGCACTTGTCTGGATGTTTCTTGTCTGAGGTAGTCAACAACTTACTCTTCAAGTGCAAACAAACAAAAATCGTGTACTTTGCTTCTTTTAAACGTCTTCATTCAACAATCCCGTGTTACTTACGACTCCACATTACATGGCTACACTTGCTCGTCAAGTATACCGCGTTGTATCGTTGGATCAAATATCTCCATTGTTACCAGATGCAGATCGGCCCTCGTAATTGTCATCGTTATTGAAATGGAGACAACAAATTCAGCGGTGACTGTCACTGGATTGAATCGTTCCCGGACGTAGTACGTAGATGACGTGGGATCGGACGTGGGACGAGG